GCGGCGAAGGAGGAGGAGGAGGAGGAAGGCGGCGGTGGCGGCGGCGAAAGAGGAGGGGAGGACGGGGGCGGCGTCGGACTGGAGCCGAGCGGCGGCGCGAGCTGCCCGGAGCGCTGTCGCGAGCTCGCCCGCCGGGCCCCCACCCCCGACCTACACCCTGCCGTGCCCAGCTCTGCCCGCGTCCGTGCCCCCGCGGGGAGCGCGCCGGGGCTGCCCCCCGAATGACGGGCGGAAGGTTCGACTTCGACGATGGCGGCACCTACTGCGGCGGCTGGGAGGAGGGCAAGGCGCACGGGCATGGCATCTGCACGGGGCCCAAGGGCCAGGGCGAGTACTCGGGCTCCTGGTCGCACGGCTTCGAGGTGGTCGGCGGCTACACCTGGCCCAGCGGCAACACCTACCAGGGCTACTGGGCGCAGGGCAAGCGCCACGGGCTGGGGGTGGAGACGAAGGGCAAGTGGATGTACCGGGGGGAATGGTCACATGGTTTCAAGGGGCGCTACGGGGTCCGGCAGAGCCTGTGCACCCCCGCTCGCTACGAGGGTACCTGGAGTAACGGGCTGCAGGACGGGTACGGCGTGGAGACCTACGGGGACGGAGGTGAGCGGCGTCGCAGGCGGCTTGGCTGCTCCGCGAGGTGGTGCGGAGGGCTTTGCCGGGGAAGCGGGGAGGACTCGAGGCGCACGTGTCCGGAAACCCGCCAAAACACCTGGGGCGGCCTCCCACCCACCTCCCGCGCTCTCCCTTCCCCAGAGGGTGCGCTGGGACGGGCTTGATGCGCGAGGGTTTGGTCTGACCCCACTCTTGGAGCGGGCGGTGTGTCCACACCCGGGGGAGCGAGGCGTGAATATACCTGGCCGGCGCCAGCGCTACACTGCCACCAGGAGGGCTTCGCTGGAGAGAGGGCGCTGTCACTTGAGCCCGTCACATTACGTTCCTGATCCCTCCCTCTCCCGGCCGGGTTTGAAATTGCCACTCCCGTAGAGTTAGAGCGAAAGCTGTGGGGCTGGCGGTCGGTGCTGACCGTTCACCGGATTGGTTTCACGTGGAGTCGTATTTCGATTCCGGCCCTCTGGTAGCCTAAAGATAGAAGCCAGTACCCCATAACTAGGATGTTGGGAAATTGGACCGTATTTGGGGTGCATTTGGAAGCATCCTGCTTATGGGAGAGGAACAGCCACCTGATGCAGGATAGGGTTCAGAGAGTGTGGGGTTTTCTTCCTCGTTTTCATTCAGCGCTTTAAAGTACTGGTTTTCGGCCAAGAAAATAATAGCCTTTGCTGACTTGGAGATCTTTGGACAAGTAACTTGAAAACGTTTTATAAATGAATTCTTAAGTCGTATCTACGTTAAAAAAAAAATTTTTTTTTTTTTTTTTTGAAACGGATGTACCTCTAGCCTGGGCTAGCTACTCAGCAGCTATACATCACCCCTGAGAATGGCAGCAGCCCTGCGACACTGATCTACATTAAGGTGTAGACCCAAACAGTTTGCCAAACAGTTTGCCTGGTTGTGAACAAACTTCACCTTATTTTAATATTTAACTACTTGCCACAGAAATCGTGTAGGTAATACAGAAGTTCCTTTATTTTTTTAATTAGAAGTGTAGGTTATTGAAACGTGTCAAAACCTGATGGATTTAATTGCGTATTAAGCTGAGAAAGATGAATGGCTTATCCTTTGGCAAAATAAACTTTCTGATAATAAACATAATCATATTTAATTGAAAAGAGTTGTAACAGGCAATGTCACCGTTTGCAATTAAGCAGCTCAGAGTTGGAGGATATTAAAGGGATCCAATTAAAAGTTTCTCCAGCCCACTGCAGCCTCAGTTATGCCATTGCTTATATAAAAGCTTATACAATTTCTACACTTCACTTACTCAGAACACTTCAGCAGTGTTTCAGATGCAAAACAGCAGAATGGTAGGATTTGCTAAAAAGGACATCGTTCCATCCTGCAGTATAAATAAAGGATATGGTTTTCTGATGGATTAAAAAAAAAGCAAAAACTTTCTCTAACACTTTCCTATGGGCTGTGAGTGTTGAGTTCCACAGTAGTTAATGAGGGCTCTTAAATGTTCTGAATGAGCATAGAGTACGTTGGTTGACAGCCCTACAAATACGTTAGTTTGTGATTGGATTTTATTGGAGGCCTCAGCTCTGCTACTTAACTAAATCCCATGCTCACAGTGGAAATTTTATTGTTTTAAGATGTGTGCATTATTTTAGAACCTTTCGAGAAGGCTGTGAATAGTTCTCTCACTTCAATTTGGGAAGGTTAAAAATAAAATTAGTCTTTTAAAGTTCCTGTTCATTAAACAAAATGTCTTGACTTTAGAGTATTCATTATACCTAGTAATCAAAATATATATAGCATAGTAAAGGTCACCTGTGTGTTGTAGAAGCCTAAATAATTGGGCACCATGGCTTTCTGGATAAGTTGCCTTCTGTTTTAAGACTAACTTTTAAAAATTAAAAAACAAACCAAAAAAAAAAAAAAAAAACCTTAAATCATCTAATATGCTACAATTAGGAAGAAAGAAAACTTTTTAAATCCCTGTTGAACGTCTACTCTGTGCTGGTCAATTTTCTGCTTTCTTTCAGATGTCACTTCATTTCATTAAGAAGTCCTTAAAGCTGTCATGACAACATGGAGATCCTGACGGAAGTGTATTGCTATAACTTGTTTTATACAAAGATTTGGGCCAAAATAGGAAATATCGCTTTCCCTGTTCTTACTTAAGATCTAGCTTGTTTTTGCCCCCGCTCTCCCCGTCGCCACGTGTGCGTCCATGTGCACCTATTGGATTTAAGAAAATCTGATTCCATGTATTTTGTGGTGACATTAAACTAAAGGAGGAAGGAAGTAGTAACTCCATGTAAGAAGTATCACTTAACTTTTTTATTAGTGATTTTCTGTAAGGTGTTGTTGAAATAGAAACCCCCTGAATATTAAGAAAAAATTAGAACCATACAAGAAAATCCAAATCGAGGTGCCCAGCATTTTTTTGTGCAGATTCTGATCTGTTGTACTTCGTTTTTCCACTTGACATAAAGCTATTGAAAATATTTAGGAAGACACATTGCCTTCTTAAGTATATGCAGACTTGTACATACCCATTCAAGTCTAGCATAGTGCAGTCTAAATGTGACTGAAACTCTTTCTGAACTGGACGCCTTCCACCTCAAGATTGTGTCATTAAAGTGGCTAGATCTAGAATATCAGCACCAGATGAAAACCATGAACACAATTTAAAACAAAACCTGTAAAAATAACTTCTACGCTCGTGAGATACACATCTATATTTAAAGAATCAAGAGGAACTAATTAGAACTTTATTTGAGCCACAGGAAGAAGTTAGAACCCACCTGCTTCACAAAGAAACAGAGAGGCCCCTTTTCTAGCTTCATTGACTAAACCAAACCTATTTTAAATTTCAGACAACCTGCTAATAGTTTGACTGTAAGTAGGTTTCTAGCAATTCCACAGAGGAATTCTACCATATACTGTGCTTTAACAGAATAGCATGGGAATATGGTCAATGCCTCTGTATCCCCCTTGGCCTGTTTGGCAATTATGCAAAGACTTAAACCTTTTACATTTTTGCTGTTGCCTTAAACTACTTGGATTTTCAAGCGATGCTCCTTTGGAAATTCTAGATACTAGTCTTACTACTTTTGAAGATGCCCGTTTAAGGAAACTAGTTGTTAATCTTCCCTCAGTATTAAACATATACCAAGATATTATGATTGTGTTTAAAAAGTATAAATACTTATTGATATCAAACAGCATCTTTGGAAATTCTTACACCAAAATCAATTTGTCATTATGTAGAACGTTAGAATTAAAAGGATATGATTACAGCAATTCTCTTTTTTTTTTTAGCATCTCAAACTAAATATTAAATATAAGGTGATTTGTTTTAATAAGTTTAACTCAGGCTGTATAACTTCTATTCTGAATTGAAATTTTATCTATATAGGCAGAGGAAAAGTCATAGTTGAATTTCCTAAGAATTCAGTTCCCTGTTGAGGTGGTAATGTTTGGGGATGTCTAGTATTCAGTAGGAAACTTCTCAAACTGAAGTGTCCTATATGACTGTCATACTTTGAGGTCAGTCCCTTTGAGAAAGCTATGACCCATCCACCTTCTCAGAAGTTCACAGATGGCAGGTTAAGATTTTCACATCTATCCAGAATATGACAGTACCAGACCATTTAGTATTTCACTGTCAATTTGCTATTGCTATGTCTATATGATGTAAATATATCAGACAGAAGGTCAAAACTTTTTACTTTGGAGACATTCTGGTTTAACTGTTAAATGCAACAAAAATAATCATCCCTTGTTAACACCATGGTATACAGTCACTGATGTTTTTACTCAGTATTTTAAAAATATTTGATACTCAGCAGAAATCTGTGCATGGCAGTATTAAATGCAAAGTGACTGCAAGATCTATATAATCAGAAACTAAAAGAGGTCAAAGACAGCCTGTAATCATGAATGATTTTCTATGATACTGTGAATTGTTATGAATATACAAAAATAATTACATTAAAAAATTTTCCACATAGCTTCTTTTGGTGGATACTAGATCTTAAAATTTGGTGTTCTCTTTATACAATTACATTTGCCTTTAATTGAAGAAAGTAGACTTGATTGTCAAAAGAAAATTCTAAGTTACCTAATGTTAATATCCATTTCCTCCTAAAACTATTCTAAAAGCTGCACCAGATTTATTTTGTAAACATCTCTGCTTATTTAATAGAAAGACTTACTGAAAACAAATGCTTGTAAACTAGAGATTATCCTGTTCATGAAAAGATACAATCAAAAAAAAAACGAAACAAAACCCATTGCCGTCCAGTCGATTCTAACTCATAGCTACACTATAGGACAGAGTAGAACTGCCCCGTAGGGTTTCCAAGGAGCAGCTGGTGGATTGGTTAGCAGCCAGGCTCTTAACCACTGTGCCACCAGGGCTCCCAAACGTACAATAGTCATTGAAAAAGTCATCTGGTGTCAACAAAGTCTTAACAGACATCTCAAATACATCTTTGCGCTGAAATGAGTTCCATAATGGGAAAAGTGGAAGGTTTCCACTGGCCTTATCTCAGTTTCTCAAAGGGTAAAGAGTATAATCTGTTTAGCTACCATAGCTATTTACTGGAAACATAGTTATTGAACACCCAGACTCTGTACAGTATCAACACCCACAGACTCAGGCCACAGTAGCCTGGAGTCTGGGAATTTTGTGCTCTTAAATGTCGTAATTCCTGCCCTCAGGGTGCTTCTACTCTATAACATGATTTGCAATTCAGTGGCAGAGACCAGGTAATAGGGAAATGCATGAAGAAAAGGACAAGGAGAAAGAAGAGATTTGACAAGTAATAAATGGGACAAACCTAATCCTTCATTTTCCCATAATAGTTCAGTATATTCATTATATATATCGTATTTGTCAAGTCACTCTTAGCTCAAAAAGTTTCACCCAATTCTTAATTGGTAATCCTAAATATTAAACAGTTTTCTTACCCTCAAAAAAGGTAGTGAATATAATAGAAAATTTAAAACGCACGCTCCACGTATCTATCGGATCGCTAATAATAATGCCAAGTCTTTGTGCTTGTTGGAATGCTATTCCGACATAGGCCTAAAAGTCCTGTTGAGAGTTTTCAACTGAAATTAGTAAAACTAGAATAAAATTCACAAATAGAACTCATTTCATCTTCTACTGTTGCACTACCCTCCAAAGAGGGAATTTTGATGTGTTAATTGTAGGGGGGGAAGAAGAGAGTGGTTTTCTAATGATCATTTTCTATATCTGAAAGTTAGATGTTTTCATCTGATACACTCGTATACTTTTTAAAATGAAAAGTTAAAGTTACTAGGCTATTGGAAAATGCTATACAACTGCATTAAAGCCATAGACTTAAAATTACAGGGCAGGGATTCACAAGTGAATGAAAAGGATTCCTTAGGGTTGACTTGGAAATGTGTCGGATTTGATCGTGGGCTTGCGCGCTCTGCCTCAAGGCTTTCCCAGGGTGCATTCCCTGTGCTTACAGACGACTGCACCCCTTCATAGCCCCTACTCACGCTGTGTTTTCTTGCCGTTTCTTGAAGGTACCTACCAGGGTCAGTGGGCCGGCGGCATGCGGCACGGCTACGGCGTGCGCCAGAGCGTGCCCTACGGCATGGCCACGGTGATCCGCTCCCCGCTGCGCACCTCGCTGGCCTCGCTGCGCAGCGAGCAGAGCAACGGCAGCGTGCTCCACGACGCTGCGGCCGCCGCCGATAGCCCGGCCGGCACCCGTGGTGGCTTTGTGCTCAACTTCCACGCAGACTCCGAGCTCTCGGCCGGGAAGAAAAAGGGCAGTCTGTTCCGAAGAGGCTCCCTTCTTGGGAGCATGAAACTCCGCAAGTCAGAATCCAAGTCTTCCATCTCCAGCAAGCGCAGTTCGGTCCGCAGCGACGCGGCCATGAGCAGAATCAGTTCCAGCGATGCCAACTCCACGATTAGTTTCGGCGACGTCGATTGTGATTTTTGCTCCGTGGAAGACCACGTTGACGCCACCACCACGGAAACATACATGGGCGAGTGGAAGAATGACAAGCGCAGTGGTTTCGGCATCAGCGAGCGCTCCAATGGCATGAAGTACGAAGGCGAATGGGCAAATAACAAGAGGCATGGATATGGCTGTACCGTGTTTCCTGATGGCTCCAAAGAAGAGGGAAAATACAAAAATAATGTTCTGGTCCGTGGAATAAGGAAGCAGCTCATACCAATAAGAAACACGAAAACTAGGGAGAAAGTGGACAGAGCAATTGAAGCTGCACAAAGGGCGGCGGCCATGGCGAGAACCAAAGTGGAAATAGCCAATTCAAGGTATGTAAATACGGGGCGGAGGGTTTGGCCGGGTCGTGCAGTCCAGTGGGATAGCAAGTACTTGTCTGTTGGCGACAGACACCACCAAAGAGGTTCTGAACCGCCAAAAACCAAGCTGGAAAATGATTAAACCTAATTGAATGAAGAGTCTAAGATGTACCCACACTGTTGTGAAATTTATTTCCCATCATCGAAAATGCTGAAGGCACGTTTGAGCTCTTTTATTACTGCCCTAGTATTAACATAGCACGATGAACTTCAGTTATACTCTGCATCTTCCTGAGTCTGGATGTTCCTTTTTTTTTTTTTTTTTCTTAAAACTATCCCACACTGCCCCAGAGAACACTGCGCTTTGTGTACCAGAAGGAAAAGATCAATCCACATGAAAACATATCTAGTTTAAATGTGTACTTTTATTCTCATATTTCAGTTAAGCTGTGTACAACTCCCTCTGTAAGATTACTTTAATGCATAAAATGCTAATTCTTTTTGTTGGTGCCTTATTGGTGAGATGGGTTTTGAGAAGGCCACCAAGATTTAAACGTGGCAAAAATGGAAAGTTACAGGACAAAATCTGCGTGCGTTGTTTAAAATGGCAGAGCGCGTCTGTATGGAAAGAGGGGAGGCTGAGCCCCCCAAGAATCGCCTCATTCTGTGTAGGAAAGATTAGATCACTAGTACATAAGTTAAAAGGAAGAGGAGGAGGAGGAGGAGGCCTGACATGGACAGATGAGACTGTGAAGTTACCTAGGCTGGAGGAAAGTAGAGCAGTAGGGAAGGGCTGAAATGAGGAGGAGAAAGTGAGTGAATAATAGATCGAGGGTGGGGTGCATGTGGGCCCAGAAGGCAGATGTGCTTGAAATTTTACCATTAATAGTGGAGTTCAGAGATCAAGAGAAAGGGATGGAGGAATCTTTTGGGAATAGAAATTTATTAGGGATGGATGTCATTTGTTTGACAAAAAAGAAAAAAAGTTTATAAATGGACATTTTTATTTTTAGGCTTATTTAAGTGGGTACTGACTGGCCACGGTTTTGTGTGACTTGAGGCATAAATTTAGCATAGAACATCAAACATCCTTTTCCTGCTTCAGTAATAGTACTCTTCTGTAGAAGTAAACCTCTTTTTGAACCTACAAAAAAAAAATGATCATTTCTACAAGATTTTACTCTAAGCATTAAATTAATGAACACACTTTTTTATCTGGTTGAACCATATGAAATTTTTAATATTTGACCTTTCTGATGTGCAGAAAAAGGGTGATTTCGTATGGTTTAACGTAATACTTCCAGACTTCTGAAGTTTCTTTGTTTCTTTTCTTTTTTTCTTAACTACTGGTGGCAGGGTAGTTAAGAGCTATGGCTCTTAAGAGCTGCTAAGGTTAGCAGCCATAGCTCTTAACCACCATGCTGCTCCCAGAAATAAATAGTAGCCTTATAATATGGGCATTCAAAAAAAAAGAAACTTCAGAAGTCTGAAAATATTAGGTAAAAGTATATGAAATCGCCCTTTTTCTGTACATCCAAAAAGTCATCAGAAAAGTCAAATATTAGACATTTCTAATGTTTGACCTTTTTGATGTACAGAAAAAGGGTGATTTCGTATGCTTTCAATACTTCTGAGTATCTGAAACACTAGTTGGAAATTTTTTGCATTATGCTGAAGTATAAACCCATTGCTGTCAAGTCGATTCCGACTCATAGCGACCCTATAAAGGACGGAGTACAACTGCCCCCATAGGGTTTCCACGGCTGTAAATGTTAACGGAAGCAGACTGCCACATCTTTCTCTAGCGGAACTGCTAGTGGGTTCAAATCTCAGACCTTTTAGTTAACAGCTGAACACTTAACCACTGCTCTACGAGAGCTCCTTATGCTTAGGTATACTATGTTAAAAGCCCTTATTAAGATTTCCATTTTTATTTATGACTACCAGTAATCCTTTTGTAAGTTAATATTTCTTGTTAATCAGGACAAACTTTGACGCAGGGTCTCTCCTGTCTTCTCTGCCGAGCATCTTTTATTTTAGATCATAGTATTCGCTGGTCACCAAGCATTGGATCTACTTGCTTTTCAGTTTCCTTGTGGATGTGCTGCTCGGCACATGTAATCTTGCTGACTTCCCTGGCCCTCTGCTGACTTGTAGAGCTCCTGATATACTTTTTGTCATGCCCTCGGGAGCCCTGGTGATGCAGTGGTTCAGAGGTTGACTACTCACCAAATGGTTGGCAGTTCAAATCCACCAGCCACTCCTTGGAAACCCTATGGGGAAGTTCTGCGCTGTCCTGTAGGGTTGCTGTGAGTCAATCGACTCCATGGCACCTAACGAGAACCGGCATCTTGTGTTGAGTGCTCTTATAGAGTCTTCCGTTTTATTTTCATCTTACAACCTAGTGATATACTAGAGGCACTTCAGTCTTTGTAGATGGAAAATAAACCTGTGAAGGACGGGCTAATAAATGGCTTTCCTATGCATGTTCTGATTATCGACTTAGTAGTAGTTAAAAGTGGAGGAATCTACCTAACACAGGAGGACAACCTGTGGTGCAAGGATGGGCTCTGATTACACAAACATCAGAAGACTCTTCCCCAAGTCCTAGCCACAGTCTCTCTGTTGAAGTCCTTTTGGAGTAGATGGAGTACTGTAATGTATAGTTTTATGATCAGGAAATCTTTGGCTTAAGACCTTCCACGTTTGGCCCATTAACTACTTATTAAAGATTACACTATTTAAAAAGCTCAATTGACCTTTTATATTTTACTTATTTTCACTGTCTCAGTCTCATTTCCGGATCCCTCCCTTTAACGAATGCTTCAGATACAGAGTTTTGCGACTTGTTTTTGGAGAAAGTAGATAAAGGATCTCCTTATGGTAGCTCTGAGTTTAGCATTCTTTTTTTTTTAAAAAAAAAAAAAAGTAAAGTTTTTTAAAAATAAAGAAAAAACTTCTGTTAATGTTTCAGAGATTGCTGCCTAGGGGAAAAGCTTTTAATTACATAATTGTCATAAACCATGGCCCTTTATAACCCCTGAATATATGATCAGCTCTTCCTGGCCCCTGTAGCAGTTGCTGTTCTTAGTGTTTTTGTTTTTAATATCAAAAGTTTTATACTCTGGCTTCTCTTCAGATAGCGTAAATCTTTCGGCTTTTAAATATCAAAAGTTTAAGAGCATAAGGTGATACCGTCCCTTCCCCCCAGTCATGGCAGAATAAGAGCTGGAAACCACGGCTCCTGGCAGCTGCTGCTGTTGAAATCACTAGTTCACCCTTAGCTAGAAAGGGAGATGAATGGTCAGTTAACAGTTAGCAACCATTTCAGTTTGACAGTCCACCCAGACTGTCACCCAGAATAACTGTTATTCTATCTTGGTTCTTTTTTATGCTTTAGAAATTTTTATTTCTTAAGCCCTAGGGAAATGGATATGCCTTTGTACCATCACCCTACTTCATCTTCAGTTGGCTCTGAAGGAAAATAATTGTATTTTCCAATAATGTCTTCTCTTGGAAATCCAGGAGCCACGGAACCAATCCCTCTGCCCCAAAGAGTCAAGAAAATATGGTAGCTCTATGACGTTGCCTTTGCTTCTCTGATGAAGGAGTGGTGTTCTTCCCCAGTAAAACACGGAGGCTTATTTCTGCAGGTATTTTATGAATCCGTCTAATTCTTACTAGAACAAGGAATATGGAGATGATGCAACAGTAAATGGTAGACATAACATGGTAGATACTAGAATTGGTAGATACAGATAGTTTACTAACAGGGTAGCACTTAAAGAATGAAGACTCTAAGAGATGCTAATAGTTTGCTAAACCATAAAACTTTTCTTTAGGTTTCTGTTCTGATCCCAAAAGTACTGTGTTTATAAGATATTACAAAATGTTTTATTCCCTCTTGTCTTGGTCCTGAGGGTGAAAACTATCACCTTGAATTGAGAAAGGGCCTAACATGATTTTTTAAGAAATGTTTGAGAAACAGGAGAGAACCCTGAACATTTCAAGAACTATAAGCATACACTTACTGAGTCTGCTCTCTGCTCATGATGTCGTCCCGACAGCCCTGTTTTGTAGATAAACTACTCTCAGAGATGTTGAGGCCAGGGAGTGCTGAGCCTGGAAAAACCCAGGGCCCCCAGTCTTTCCTCCAGCAGGGTTTACCCTTTGGTAAAAAAAAAACAAACCAAACCTACTGCTGTTCAGTCGATTCCGACTCATAGCAACCCTGCAGGACAGAGAAGAACTGCCCCATAGGGATTCCAAGGAGCGGCTAGTGAATTTGTACTGCCGACCTTTTGGTGAGCAGCCAAATGCTTAATCTGAGCCCTGGTGGCCCAGTGGTTAAGAGCTCGGCTGCTAACCAAAAGTGCGCAATTCAGGTCCACCAGCCACTCCTTGGAAACCCTATGAGGCAGTTCTGCTCTGTCCTATAGGGTCGCTGTGAGTTAAAATTGACTCCATGGCAACGGGTTTGCTTTTTGGATCTGAGCCTTAGAAGTAATAAGTATCCAAGATGATGAAAGACCATAGTGAAAGGAATGGAGGGTGCTGTCCTGAAGCAGTTGAGAACCACAAGTGTTTGGTTGTACAAGCTTCATTGTCTCAGAAGAAGGGAAATAAAGGGGGAGGATGGAGAGTTGGTAGTAACTAATGGTTAACTTGCTCAGCTGCTAACCAAAGGTTTGGAAGTTCGAGTCCACCCAGAGATGGCTCAGAAGAAAGACCTGGTGATCTGCTTCCAAAAAATCCTGCATTGAAAACCCTGTGAAGCACAGTTCTGCTCTGACACACATGGGGTTGCCATGAGTTGGGATGGACTCCACGGCATCTGGTTTTATTCCATTCTGCAGACTCTGCTGCCTCTGTGGCCAGCCTCCCTGAACCTAGTAGGGTGCTTGGCTGGGCAGCTCCTAGTGCTACTGCAAAGTGTCAGTGATGGGAACCGCCTCTCCCACCCCGTTAGGCCCCTTCAGGTGGTAACAGCAGCACATAGACAGGTGATGTCA